TATATATATATATATATATATATATATATATATATATATATACAGTATATATATATCATGTGCATTTTAGCTTATATTTCTATCTCAAAATACTAATTCATACAAATTCATACTTGCACCGTTATATTCTACCATGTTGTTGTTTAACTATCTCTCTTAATGGCCTTGTAAATGTTATATTTACTTTCTCACTTTTTTGTACATTCGTTTGTATCCTTATTGCATGCATGCATGTATTTTCTTTTTTTTGTTGTTGTTGTTGTTTTTAGCGAGTCAAATCAGTTCTTCTCATCCTGAACATTTCATTGTACTGTTAACCTTGTGTTAACCTGCATATGACAAATAAACACAACTTGAACTTGTTTAGTTTTTACCTCAATAAACCTGAACTCCCGGTTAAAATCCTACAAATATGACAGATTAGAATTAATGTCACATCTACACATGTTTTCCCTTGTGCCACATTGTTTTCCTCAGATTTCCCAGGCGTGGATTGCAGATGAGTCTGTCAAGCTTTTACACTCTGTATCTGTGAAGCCACGCTGGTGCAACAAAAAATGCTACACAGCGAGGTTTGCCATTGTCCTATTCAATTAACTGTGGACTTTCTGACAAAAACATCATCTTGGTGGCAGCATGTGTTTCTCCAAAATCCAATTTATGCTTCATCACTGCCACCTTCACACATTTAACATGCAACCCACAGGCACTGAAGCACACCAACATCACACATTCTGGCTTTTACACCTTTGGCTGATGAAAGCCACAATCCAACATCAGTTTCTTTTTAAAGAAACAAGCAGAAAGTTGGACTCATTTGACCACTGATTTTGTGTCCACTGGATTTCTGTCCGTCTGAGATAAGCTTGTGCCAAAATGAAACTCAGGGGAAATTTCTCTGCAGAGTTGATGTATGGCTTCCTCCTTGCACAATACATTTTCAGGTTGCATTTCTGGAGGTGGCAGCAAACTGTGCAGAGTGATTAAAAGGCACAAGCTGAAAACAGGACCCATGAGTAGACTTTACTGTGCTATTGGCTGTTTAAAAAGGAAGTTTAAGTTTTTCGCTAAGTCATTTAAGATCAGTCAAATATGGTGTCATTGTTTTCCATTGTTAGGATTTAAACAGTCACAAAAAGAGAGAGTTGAGAGAGTCATTTTGCTTTTAGCAGAATTAGCACTCATCAGCCAGTGCTAACTGTGGTCACAGGTCTGTTATTCTTTTGAATGAGAAGATGGGAAGTTCGGGAACCACTGTGTGAAGCTGTCTTTGCTCCATATACTCAAGGTTAGATGATCAGATCTAATACCTCACTTGATGTCAGCTTTCATCCTGAGAGCTTGATGTTGAATGGCTTTAGTATCATAACAGGAAATGTCAACAGGTTTCACTGAAACAAAGTCTGCGGATCAGCAAAAACAGAGAAAACACTAAAATAAATACAAATGAAACAGCATTTTTGGAACCAGTGGAGTTACTGTTAAACAGTGCTGCAACTGCCACTTACAGGAACATTTACAGTGGTGGAAAGACTGGACAGGAGGGCAGACAAGACAGATCTGTGGTCCAATGCCCAGAATTTCGAGCATTTTGCTGCTCAGTGTCCCAGGACTGAAACAACCCATCCCCTCCAAGCTGCCACTGTAGCCTAAATGACCACTTGCCACAGCATGGATGACGTATAAATACACACAGGAAGATCAATTTGTTTATGAATAATTAGTCTGGCCTCTCATTTATTTTGTGTTACTGTTGTGATGATGCATACTGCAGATTCATTCCTGATTCCAGTTAGGCGTGTTTATCAAAAGCCAGATTTGGAATACAGCTGTCCCTTGTTTATTGTGGAGGACCCGTACCCTGAAGCACCGCGATAAGTGCAAAACCGCGAAGTAGGGATACAGTAGTCCAAGTTCAAGTTCAAGTACAGTAAACTTTATATTAAGGTTTTAGAAACCCTTCCCACACTCTTGAAATGTTCTAAACTCTTAAACCTACATCATCTTAACAACATACGTTACTAAATTTTACTTACTAGCTCTACAGAACAGCAACAGCTCTGGTTCCAGTCCATCAATGTTTTATTTCGACTCGGTTAGTTTCTGCAGACCTATCCTGCAGCAATAAACCCCACAATCAGTCCTGTAAACTCTTAAATCTATTAATTTCAACAAAATACAGTACTTATTTGTCAATTAGCTACAGAATTTTACTTACTAGCTCTGCAGAACAGGAGCAGATTGGTTCCGGTCCGACCCGATAGATAAAAAAAGTCCCGGTACAGCATGACTGAAGTCCACCGCTTCATCCAGCTTGATGTGTGTGCGTTGCTGTCCAGGATTTAGTCCACCACCTCTGGCCTGGTCCGGACCAGCACTGCGCGACCAGGACCTGACTGCACCCTGCAGCTGTCTGTCGTCTGCAGCTCCCAGGATCTGGGTCACACTGATTCTGGATCAACTGCAGCCCAGCTACTCAGCAACTCAACTTGAAGGATGAGTGTGATTTTCCTGC